AAGTTATGAATTTATCGCTCTCCTAAGTTTTCTCTCAGTTCTGCTAAGAACACATTATCAATGTGTAACTGAATACTCGGTGTCCTACTATTCTACAAGCAAAAAAATCCCCGGAAAAACAAACAAACAAACAAACAAAATTAGAAGAAAAAAAGAAGAAACCACACGTGCCTGCTGAGTATAGGAGCTCCACCCCCAAAACTCATGGCGATTATCTTTGCTAGTCATTTTAATATGATCTGCATCCTGGTCTGTCCTCATCCCACATACATTGTTAATCTTGGAAAGCATCTCCGAACATAAAATGGTTTAGAAAAAAAAAGAGTCTGATGTATTGCTTATATACATCCTGGCTTCACAGAACGGAGAGTTGGGACTTGGAACTACGTGTTCCTAAACGTGTGATATGGGGAGTAGTAGAGAGAGGCAAAGGGAGCTCTGGGGCAAAAAAAAAAAAAAGTAAAGAAAACTGAATTACAGGTCCTAAACAACTTTAGGTCCTTACTTTAGAAATCTTCCCTCCCTGCTGCCCCACCCATCCCAGGAATCAGAAAACTCAGGAAAGGCTTAAGGGCCAGCGTGACGGGTGACAACTATAAGGATTTTGAACAATTCGACACAAGTAAGGTTGCAAAGAGAAATGGCATGTAAGAAAGACGAATGTTGAGAGCTGGTCTTTGGGGCGCCTCCGGGATCCCGACTTTTGGGGGGAAAAGGTGGAGCAGCCTGCAGCTGGGGGGAGGCAGGGGAGTGTGAGGCGAGGCGGGCCGCCTCAGGTGCCGCTGCCAAGGCGCGAGGGTCCAGGCGATTGAAAGGCTGAGCAAGCTAACCCGGTGCCCAGACGCCTCCCTGTCAGAAGAGGGTCGTGCCCGAGAGGCAGGGGTTCCTCCCCCTCCCCTTCCAACTCCTCACCCGGGCCGTAGAACTTGCTGCCTTTGGTCACGTCGAAGACTTTCCCATTGACCGCGAGCAGGATGCGCGGGGTCTGGGACCCGTCGTACTGGCGTAGCTGCTCCAAGCTGAAGTCCCGCTTCTTCATGCGAGGCAGAGAGGCGGCGGGGCTCTCCTCGCCCGCCCCGGCCCCGGTGCCCAGACCCCGCCGCCCCCAGCGCACCCACAGCCGGTAGGCCCCCAGCAGCACCAGCGCCACCAGCGCCACGTTCAGCAGCATCTCCCCGCCCCCCGTCAAAAGCGCCAAAGCCGCTGCCGCCCAGCCTCCTCCTTCTGCTGTTGCTCCCGCGCCGCCTGGGTTCTCGCTGCTGCCGTCGCTGCTGCTCTCACTGCCACTCCCCAGGGTGCCTAGCTTCACGTCCCCATCACCCGCCGCCATCACTGCCCGCCAGCGCCTTCCTCCTCCTCCCCGCCCCCTGCCCTCCCCAACCCCACGGTCGGCCCCGCCCAATTGGGGGTCTCCCAGCCAATAACGTGAGGGGAGGAGGCGGGGTCAGGCCAGCTCCTGATTGGGTGTTGACGGGGTAACGTTGTCT